GGGGGGGGGGGGGAGGGGCTCCCAGGCCGTCGTCGCACACGGCCCCACGACAGGACACGACACCGGGCTGCTCATCTCCCGCTCATCTCCCGCTCATCTCCCGCTCATCTCCCGCTCATCTCGGGCGCTGTCTCGTGCTGGTCTCGTGCTGCGGGGGCGGGCTGCGGGTGGTAAGCCTTGGTCGACTCGAGGTCGATGTAGTCGACGCGCGTCAGCCCGGCGATCGTCTGCGGGATGGTGCCGCTGATGCCGACGCACTTTCCAAAGTGCACCTGAGGAGGAGGGCGGGGCGGCGGTCAGCGAAGGGAGGGAGGGGGACGTGCCTCGCGAGGACTGCGCATACGAGGGCTACTAGTGCTGCTGCTGCTGCTGCTGCTGCTGCTGCTGCTGCTGCTGCTGCTGCTGCTGCTGCTGCCGCACGTAGTCGAGGCGCGTCATCTCGCCCAGCTCGGGAGGGAGGGTGCCCGAGAGACGGGCGCCCTCGAGGTCGAGGTCGTACAGCCGGCGGGCGCCTGGCGGGCGACGGACGTGTCGCGGACGTGTCGCGGACGTGTCGCGGACGTGTCGGGGACGTGTCGGGACGTCACGTCCGTGTCGGGGACGTGAGCAACTCTCGACGGCGGGCGAGAGGGTGGGGCGAGTCTCGTCGCGTCTCTCGGCGAGTCTCGTCTGGTGCTGTGCGCGCCCTTGATTGAGTCTGGGAGGGTCCCTGAGACGGCGGTGTGCTCCATGTAGAAGTGGTCGAGCTGGTCGAGCTTGCCGATGGCGTCGGAGATGGTGCCAGAGAGGGAGGTGCGGCCTGCGAGAGGGGAGGGGGGGGGGGGGGGGGGGTGAAACGGCGGCGGGGGCAGCGGCAAAGGCAGTGGCCCAAAAAGAAAGCGAGGTGAGGGGGAAATCCCCAGAGGGGAAGGAGGAAGGGGGGGGGGGGGGGTGTCCAGGTAAGGGGGGGGGGGGGGGGCGTGGAGCGGCGCACCGGCAAGCTTGTTGAAGGGCAGCTCGATCTTCGTGATGAAGCCCTCGGCGTCGCAGGTGATGCCGTGCCACTTGCAGCAGCTGACATGGGTGGTCATCCAGCCCGTGTTGTTTTGCCACGAGGCGCCGCGAGTCTTCTCAAAGAGCGTCTGCAGCGCCTCGCACTGGCCTCGTGCGGGCACGATGGGCGCGGGCGTGGGCTCGGGCGTGGGCTCGGGCGTGGGCACAGGCGTGGGCTTCGGTGCGGCGACGGCGTCGGGCGGTGCGGCCGGTGCGGCGGCCGTTGTCTGCGCCGACGCGCCGGCGAGCGTCGCGACCAAAACACACAGGTAGCGCATCTCGTGACTTTTGAGGGCGTTCAAGAGTGTCTTGACTTAGGCGCCGACATCGGACCCCTGCACAGGCCCTCTACCAGCCACCCTCGGGTCAAGCTCTTTATCGTCGTTTGTGGTCAGCCGCGAGGAAGTGCAGCGAAAGCACGCCTCAAACTCATGCTCAGACTCCAGAGGTTGCGCGCCACCTGCTGGAGTCACATCCCACCTCCTTGAGAGAGAGAGAGAGTGAGAGCCCAACTTCAGAATCGTGCTTTTTGGGTTGGGTTGGTCTCGACCGCCGCCGCTCACGCCAGCGGACGGCCACTGCCGGTGTTTTTGGCTTCGCCACCAAGGCGTGCGCCATGCGATCGCCGACATCGAGCGAGCACGCCTCTGTCCGACGAGCGCGCGCGTCCCGGCGGGGGGGAGAGCATGTGTCGTTCTGATGTGTCACTGTGTGCGTCACATCGATGATAACAAGCACGGTCGATCCGTCAAACAAGAACCCAACCCCCAAACCCAACGCAACCCAAATGCTGCCGAAACACAAACCGCAAACCCAAACAAAAAGCACGATTCTGAAGTTGGGCCCTCAGAGTCCTTGTCCCACTTATCATTTCGAGGTGAGAGAGATTTTTAGAATACACAACTCTATTTTGTTTTGCTCTCTCTGTCGCGAATTATATGTGGTCACGCGTGTTTTTCGCAAGACCAACGATGAGACAGTCGCAGGCCCCCCCGCCATGAAACTAGTCCACCAATATGGCGCGGACCGTTCCGCACCCCTCATGGTATGCCTCGAGGACGCTGTGGGCTCCAAACTCCACCGCCGCATCCGGCACCACCCGTGCACCGCACACCGGCGCCTGCGACAGCGTGCGCGCCGACGGGGGCGCTGGCCGCGAAGAGAAGGCGACCTGGCAGGTATGGCCGGCAATCACAAAGTGTCCAGCCTCGAGCGTCTTCCCGCGTCGGCTGAGATCGTTCGCGAGGAAGGTGAGGGCACCCAGCGGCGAGTCCGCCGGATTCTCCTCGCCCGTGCCCGACGACGCCTCTTTCCCATCCACGAGCAGCCTCACGAGACAGCTGCCGCCCGTCAGTGCGGCGGCGGGTGGCGTGGCTGGCGGCGGGACCAGTGGGATGCCGCGAATCACCGCGGCGTTGTTCATGGCGTCGGCCAGGAGGTGGTACGGCGAGGCCTTGGCGGTGGCAGTGGTGAAGCGCGCCCCGCACAGCTCGATACATGGCTCGTACGAGCGGACGGCTGCCCAAACCTCCTCCTGGGTGTAGCACTCCTACAGAGGTTGTGCGTTCGCTTTTGACAGGCCTGCGGCGCAGCACTATGCGCGGTACTTCCCTCGCGGTGGCCTTCCCAATCTATGCGCGGTACTTCTCGCGGCGGGAGTGGCGACCCCATCACAAAGCCAAACTCAGCTTCCGCACAGAACACCTTGTGGTGCGAGAGAGAGAGGGTCGTGCCCGACGGGAACAGACAGCCCGCAAAGATCGGCGAGTACATTGCGGGAAGGCGTGACGGGTCGGCAGTTACGAGTGGATTGCCCTTCCACCCGAGCTTCCAGCCGGCGTGGCCTCCCAGCCGGTCACTCTGGGGCGACTGGATCATCGCGTCGTGCACGCGGAAGACGTCGTCAAGGCAATCGAGGGCAGGTAGCACAGAGGGGCGCAGAGGAGGCATTCTCAGGCCGCAGCCGTGCCCATCGTCATCCGACCAGGCGCCAAGAAAGTTGTCCGCTGCTGTCTCGAATATTGTCGGTGACAGAGCATTGTTTGCCGGCGACGGACTGCTGAGCGTCGAAAGGGCACGAGGCGCAGGCGCGAGCTGGCGCAGTGAGCCAGGGCGGCGCGCGCCGCGAGCGAGGCGCGACTGACCGACGAACATGATTTTTCTGCGTGTCGCCGCGAGCCCTCCACGCCGCGTTTGGGCGCGCAACCCGTGTATTCTTTTTTTGCTTGGGGCGGACAGATTGATGAAATTCTGGAAAAACCTGGCCGGCCCCTGCCCTGCCCCTACCTACCTACCTACCCTACTTATGGGAAACTAAAAAAGAAATCACCGGCGGGGTGAAGGTGGGGTACTACACCAACTAAAGTGATGACTGGTGGTACTCTCCTGCAACCACAGTCCTTCCTGTGGCATGGCAGGCCACTCTCAAGGCTATACAAGCATCAATCAGATCACCCACTTGGTGTGAGTGAGTGTGTGAGTGTGTACCCACTTGGGGAGGGTTGACATGGTCGTGATTTCGGAAAATTCTTTTTCTGCTGTGAAATTTCCGCGCGAAGAGAGGGAAAAACCCGACGGGAGGGCCCAGACCTACCCTACCTACCCCGTCATGCTGTCCGCCCCAAGCAAAAAAAGAATACACCTGCGCGCGGGGTTGTTTTTTTGAGCTTTGGGACAACAGGATCATTCACGATTCAGAGCTAGATGCAAGGTCGAAGCTCACTGGACGACGCTCGGATTCACCGCGCTGGGCGATCTATCACTGGCGAGCCCCCTCAGCCCTCACCCCGACCCTCGAGCTACAAACAAAGTGAACTCCGCAGCGCGCAGGAAAACCCCAAGTCCCCAACCATCGTCCCAAGGGCGCGAAGGCGGCGCTAGCCGCAAAGCTTCACAGCTACTCTGGATCGATCCCAGCCGACATCAAAAACTTTCTCGCCTCCAGCGTCCAGAGCCGCCGTAGAGCCCGTAGCTCGTAGGAAGAGGGGCCGACCGCCTATGGGTTAGCGCCTATGCACAAGCCACAACTTATCGATGTGTTACGATGATAAAATAAATACCCTCGGCACAACCCGACACAGAAGAGCGGCAAAGAGAGTTGGGGCTGCGGCTACGGCTGCGGCTACGAGAGGGGCCGGGGTCGCGGGAGAGCCGCTGCGCAGCGTGGACGCGCGCACACCGCTCTTGCTCCGCTCGCCACCTCTCGCAAAAGTCCAAAGTCATAGCCACCACCTTCTCCGGCAAGTCCTGTCGCCGCATCTTGCCGTCTCTCCACGCCTGGAAGAGCTCGTCCCACGGTGCTACACCAGCCGCGGACCGTCGGTGCTCACATCCCCCGGCATGCATAGCTTGCTCCTCAGGCGCGTGGCGTCGGCCTCCGCCACGCCCTGCGGCCGCAGCAGCCGGTCGCAGCGCCCCGAGCCGCCGTCCAGCATCACAAGGTCGAAGTAGGCGACCTCTTGCGGGCGGATCGCGAAGCCCGCCTTTGCGGGCGTGTACCTCCCGCCTCCCTTCAAATAGTTGATCCGGCGGAGCCCAGCCTCACCGTACGCCGCCGGGACGACCAGCCGCCGCCAGCCGCCCTCTCGCATGCCCGCGCGCACCGCCTCATCGACCGGCGCGGGGATGCGCTCCTGAGTACCAAGGTGAGGGTCGGAAGAAGGCAGCGCATGCAGTGTACTCGGCGCGTTGGTACAACGCCCACTTGACGCCGTGTGGCGGTAGGGCGTGAGTACGACGGGGAATGCAGCGCGACGGCACTCTGGCGCAGGGACGTGTTCTCCGCATCTGGGGGCTCTCGGTCCGTGGCGGTGCCCAGCGTCCACCCGTAGGGCCGCCCGTCGTAGTACGTCCAGTCCGCCACCGGGCCGGCGCGGAAGCCTCCCGCCCACACCTGCGGAGGCGTCTCCTCTCTCCTCTCTCCTCTCTCCTCTCCTCCCCTCTCTCCTCTCTCCTCCTCTCTCCTCTCACTCGAGAGCTGAACGTCCAGCGAGGGGCGACGCCGGGGGCAGGAGGCTGTGCAGGAGGCGGCTGCATCGCACCTTGTACTGGCAGTAGACGACGTCGCCCCGCCTCGGCTGCGGACCAGTCCCAACCACGAGGTCGATGACGCGCGAGCCGCAAGGCAGCGTGTACCTGCGGACCAAGGGGGGAAGAGAGAGCTGGGGAGAGAAGAGAAACAGCAGGGCCGCCTGTACCTGCGTGGCGGCGGTGGCGTACTCCAATAGTGCGAGAGAAGGGGGATGGAGGGTGGGGGAGGAGAGGGCAACTGGTCGTCTCGGAAGTAGCCGTACCAGACGCGCACCCCGCGTCCGGCGCCAGGCTGGCCGCCTCGAGCGCGTCGATATCGCCCTCTTCCAGCCCTTTGAACGGGCCCCACGGCACCACGGGCTCCCGCCTGGCTCCTGCCTGCCTGGCTGACCCCGCCTCCGCCTCTGCCCCCGCCTCCGCCGCCCCCGCCGGCACGCCCAGCCGCGGGACGGAGAGAGAGAGGGCCGCCGCCGCGACCAGCACCTTGCGCCGCGCCTCGTATAAGCCTCGGCGGCCCTCGCTGCGGCCGCGCTTCTTCTCGGACGTCCGCCTATGGGAAGGTTCTGAGAAGGTTCCAGTGAAGGCCCCCTGGAGAGCGGCTGCGCTCCTTCCCCGGCATCCGCCGCTTCTCGTCGCGCCGCTGGCGCTTACCGCGCTCGGAGAGGCCGCTGCGCTGCCGGCGCACCTTTGGCGGCCTCCACGCGTCGGCGACGAGGGCCGCCAGCTTCTCGAGCGCATCCTTGGAGTGAGAGGAGGCTATGAGCAGAGCGGGCCTCCGAGGCGACGGCGCCACTTCTCTCGAGAGTCGCTCCTTCCGGTTGGCGGCCTGCGTGCGGTGGCGGTCCGAGACGGCGAGGAGCTCTCCGCCGCGCGTCGCGCCGCCGAGCTGCAGCAGCCGCGCCTTGACCGCGTCCGGCCACGGGCTATGCGCCACACAGAGCCGCGCCTCGCACTTTGTGCTCAGCTTGTTGACCGCCTGCCCGCCGGCGCCAGAGGAGCGACTGTACGAGAGGGTTACGCACTCCAGCCCCTCGAGCGCACGAGCGGTGGGAGGCGAGCCAAGCACATGCGACGGCGTCCACAGCCGCCACGCGGCCGGAGCGTCTCCACCCTGCTGCACGCCTCGACAGCTGAGCGAGATCTTGCCGTCCGCGACGCTAGTCACGCGCACACGCACACGATCGCCGACGGCAAGGGCGTCTTCCGCCACCTCGACCCGGCCGCCCGACGGGTCAATATGCGACACGTGGAGGAGGCCGTCCCGGCCTGGCTGGCCCTCGAGGGAGCAGAACGCACCATAGGTCACGACCGACTCGACCACGCCGACGTGCAGGCTCCCGACGGCTGGCAGAGCAGGGTTTGAGGCGGCGAGCATCAGCAGCGGTGCCGTGCGGCAAAATTGTGCTCGGGCTAGGGCCGGGACGCCGATCATCGGCAAGGCTTGTGCAGCTGCTGTGGGGCGGTGGCCAGAGAAAGAAGCGAGGCCCCGCGCCCAAACACGGTTGCGGCCGACGCACACCCAAGCCTGAAGAGCACTCCCTGGGTTCGGACTTTTTGGTATGGTATGGTACGTCGCGACCCGCCTCATAGATCAACGACTTGGGGAGGGTTGACAATGAGATTTCCGCGTAATTTGTTTTTCATTTGAGAAAATTTTCGTGCGTAACACTAACTCCCCCGGAGAGGTCCGGCGAAGCAAAAAAGAAAGAGAGCGGCGCGCAACACTTTGCGGCGCATATTCCCGCTGCCCGGTTTGTGTTTCATGGGAGTCGAGCCCTTGCCCGGCGAGAGCGAGGCGGCGTACGTCGCGCGGCAGAACCGCGAGCGCGAGGAGGCTGCGGAGCGCATGCGTGCCAAGTTTGGCGGCAGCGGCGGCCTGAACGGCAAGCTCGGCGGCTGCGGGCCGAGCGGCTTCGGCTCGAGCGGGGGCTATGGCGGCGGCAGTGGCGGCGGCGCCAAGGAGTGGCTCTCCGGCCTCGGGTCGGCAGCCACGATGCTCGGCTCGTCCGCCGTCGCCGTGCTCGGCGCCGCCCATTGCGGCACGATCACGCCTGAAGAGCGGCACAGAGCTGAGTTCGTGCCGTCCTGCGTTAGGCTCCGCCGCCGAGGTGGCGTCCACCGGCGCCTCGGCCGCAGCGAGCGCCGTGAACGCGCGGATAGAGAAGGCGCGTGAGGCGGCTCCGCCGGCATACGGCGCCGACGCGGCGGACTCGGACGACATCTCCGACTTGCTGCGAGGGAGCAACCTCTACGGTGAGGCGGGCGGTGGCGGCGGCGGCGGCGGCGGCGGCGGCGGCGGCGGCGGCGCAGGAGCGGGCGGCGGCCCGGAGGGCGGGGTGGAGCCGCTCCCTGGCGAGACGGAACGCGCGTATGCGGCGCGGC